AAAGGTTAAGGGCGTCTCATCTAACTCACACTCCATTTTACACAGACTGCGAACGAGGCCCGGAGAAGGGAAATGTGGCTGGATGAGTGGGCTAGCAGGGCCAGAAAGAGAAGACATATTGCCTGACACCCCATCCAGGGGTCATTTCATTTATTGGATAAATGGTTATCGGGGGCCATGAATGCCCACTATACTAGACACTCTTCTGGGCACTGGACTCCAGCAATGAATGAGACAAAAGCCCCTGTCCTCCTGGAGCCCACGTTGTATTGAGGGAGACCAACAAAAAAACAAGTGAACCAACAAAATATTTCACATGATGGTAAGTGCCATGTAAAGCACTTGGGCCCAGGGGTGAGTTGGGCTCAGTAGTCTTAATTGGTCAATATCTGAGCCCAGACCTGAGTGACTTGAAAAGAGCCAGCTAAACCAGCATATATATGCAAAGGTCCTGAGGTTGGAAGAAAATTTGTATTTGACAGACAAAAAGAAGGTCAATGCGAGTGGAGCGGATGAAGGAGATGAGGTGACAAAAGTGTACAGATCACTTAGGGTCCTTAAGGCAGGGTGTGATCTTGCTGCAAAGGTATAAGGTCAGCCTCTCTTTCTCCCAAGTAGCTCCAGCCTGGAGGATGCAGGGGGCTCCCTGAGCCCTTGCTGAACCAATGAATGAGCAGTGTGCGTTAAGGGTGAGTGAGGAAGAGAGGCAGAGAAGAGTTACAAAATCCTTGAGCAATCTGTATGATCATCATGATGGCAGCCAGCCCCGAGAGGAGTTTGCGAGCCCCACAGTTGAATCTGTGTTGCAACTGTTCAGCGCTGCCCTTGTAGCTGTGGTAGGAAAGCAGCCACAGACAATACAAAAACAAGTGGGCGTGGCTGTGTTCCAATAAAATTTTATTACAAAACCAGGCTGTGGACCAACCCATGCCTTACGGAGCGCTTAAAAGGTACCAGTTACAGATGTAAGAGCCTTATATATATTAACACCTTTATAACGAAGGGCTGGACAGATAAGTTGTCCTTTATCTCTTTTAGGTCTTGGACACCCATTGAGACTTAGAGTGTGTCTCCCCATGCTGGCTCCAGAAATCTGCACACACAGAGACACATCTGTAAGACTTACGAGCACATCTCTCGGGAGCAGGGTCTAAAAGCCTGAGGACTTTGTGAGCCCCCTGGGTGGATAATCCCTCAGAGAGCGACCAGGTGGTGGAGGTGCTAGGAATCGTGGGAGGGCTGGCAGGAAGGCTCTGAGAGATAGGGTGGGAATCCGGCACTTCCCAGAATAGTTGGTTGCTCTGGGACAAAGGCCAAAGGGCTGGCTGACAGGAGGCCACCACCTGACCTCTCTTCCCCCTGGAAGACTTCCTTCCCAAAGTGAATGGCAGAAAAGCCTAGACCCATCCTAGACCCTGTCTCCTGGCTGGTGGTCGTGGATCAAGCACACTCCTTCACCTCCGTGCCTCCGCTGTGAAATGAGGGAACTGCATTAGACTCTTCCCTGCTGCAGATGGCCCGGCAGAGCTATGGGGGGGGCAGTGGGAGGGGCCTGGGCAGAGGGCGCTGGGGGCAGGGCTGCGCAGAAAGTAGAAGTGGTCATTTGGGACTTGCCAGGTGACCAGATGTGGTAGGAAGTCTCTCAGGCAGATGGAAATGGGAGCTGGAGCTTGGGAGAGATTAGGGCAGAGAGGCCGCTCCAGTGAATGGCGGGCAGCGGCTCTTCTCGGAGGGAAGATGTGGTAGGTTCTACGGGAAAGAAATTTGGGAGGCTGCATTCCTCCTCTCCTCCCCCAGCCCTGTACTCCGGGAAGTTCACAATCAGCATGTGAAAGGCTCAGAAAGAACCTGGGGGAAAGAGACCTGTTTAGCTCTCTTGCACACGCTGTTCTATTTAGGCACAAACTTTGCTCGAATGAGGCTGCTCCAGTTGGTCCCGTTAAGTCCCTGTGGGCGTCAGGGGCCCTTCAGACTCACAGATTGGCGTTATCATCTCTGTTTTCCCGGTGAGGAATTGTGATTCGCAGAGGCTCAGAAACTGCTCCGGGATCACAGGGCGAGAAAGTAGGGAGGCCAGGCCTGGAACCTGAGTGTCACTGACCGCAGCTCCTTGTTCTTGGCGTCCGTGGCATAGGACCTGGCAATTAAGCTTAACTCTAAAAAGTCAGGATTAAAATCGAGGATTTGGCAACATTAAATTCGTGGTTGGCAGGAGAAGCAGACGAGTCCCCTTTTCCTCCTGCCACCGCAGTGTGCACTGCCCTGCCAGCTGCCCGCCAGCTCTCTCAGGGCTGCTGTTTGTCCCGACTGAAGCCAGGGGAAACGGCAGGGCCTCAGGCCTGGGGGTAGACACAGGCAGGTTGAGAGAAGGAAATCATTTTTAAAATGGTTATGGTTCGTTTGTCATCAGATAGACGTGGGTCTACGCTCATCAGCTATGTGACTTTGGGCAATAAACGAACATCCGAGCCTCAGTTTCCCAAAATTGTAAGGTGAGGATGGTAATAGTATCTGCCTCACAGCGTGTGTGAGGATGGAGTGCAGTACCGTGTGGTGCACGCTCAGCTCAAGGCCTCGGTGCTGTGCTGTGCTGTATACAGTAGCAGCCATACACATGCTTTTTATTGTTGGTGTTGTCATCTTCAGGTGGTTGACATGGGTCCTGAGGTTTCTTTGACATTCTGCAGGACTCTGGTGAGTTCACATTTTGACTCTGAGATCCCACAAGCTGTTGGAGCTGCAGGCCTAGAGGTCAGGAAAGAGGTCTGTGGCACCGCTCTGAGGTGGTCTCTGGGCATGTGGAGGCAGGGTTGAGAGCAGACTTCCTCTGGAGGCACCTCAGTGCCTTCTCTCCCTTCCCCATCCCTGCTGGACACCCACCAACCAACCTTCCCCTCTTAGCTTTAGCCTTGGATAGGGAACAAGTCAGGGCTCTGGAGTCAAAACACTGGAGTTCACATCTTGCCCTGCCAAGCTGGGAGGATCGCTTGAGGCCAGGAGTTCAAGACCAGCCTGGGGAACGTCTCTACAAAAAATAGAAAAAACAGCAGGTGGGGTGGCATG